AGTGCTTTGATAGACAACCTCGGATAGGTCATACATCATTGGTGGATTCTCTTGATCTTTTCCATATAGGTTAACTTCATCGAGCGGGGCTCTGACATACATCCTCGGATTGGTCAGGTCATATATCCTTGGTGGATTCTCTTAACCTCTTCCATATAGGTTAACATCATCGAGTGGGGTTTTGACATACAATCTCGGATAGTTCATACATCTTTGGTGGATTCTCTCGACCTCTTTCATATAAATTAACATCATCGAGAAGTGCTCTAACATATAACCTCAAATAAGTCAAACATCCTTGGTGGATTCTCTCGACCTCTTCTATATAGGTTAACATCATCGAGCAGCTCTATGATAGATAATCTTGGATAGGTCATACATCCTTGGTGGGTTCTCTCGACCACTTTCATATATGTTAACATCATCAATCAGGGCTCTGAAATACAACCTTAGATAGGTTAGGTCATACATCCTTGGTGGATTCTCTCGATCTCTTTCATATATGTTAACATCATCGAGCAATGCTCTGGCATATAACCTCTGATAGGTCATATATCATTGATGGATTTTCTCAACCTCTTCCATATAGATTCATGTCATCGAGTAGGGCTCTGACATACAACCTCAAATAGGTCATACATCCTTGGTTGGTTCTCTGGAGCTCTTCCATAAAGTTTGAGTATTATTTTGAGTGAATAATATTCTCTCTATAAAGATTCTATGAAAGCAAGTGATTGATAAAATCATCACTCATATGAAGATCTTAGTAGGCTAAAAAGCCTCAAAAAACTATATTATGCAATATATTAAAGCATGTCTCAAAGATGCAATAACAATTCAGCTTCCTCTAAGGAAAATTCTCAACTTCATATACAATATAAATGGAGTTACATAAATTCAAATTCAGGTGTATATTTATTCTCAAGATAAGTTGAAATTAAATAGTACATTGACATTATCCGTTCAAGCTACTATCATTATGCAATAAGAAACTTCAAAACAGTCAAATATCCTTAATGGATTTAAGTGACTTCTTCTTTACTTCACACAAGCATCTTGTATAACTTTTTCTTTAAAGAAAGGACATAACCTGATCATTATCAGGCCTCAACAGAGTTAACCGTAATAGTGTGTTGCTAGAATGCTAGCATAGCACACTTCTTCAGCCCCTTAACTCAAGGATATTTGATGTCGACGCACTTAAGTATGAATGCAAATTGCCTTAGAAAAATGCCACTGGAAACCCACCATCATTAGCGCTTCATTTGATAACTATCAGCGGTCCTTCACTTTATATATACCATCATCGGCTTCTCACTAAATAATTGATAGTAGCACACACTCAAACTTTCTCCTTCAGCTATACACTTGGCCGTTGACTGCCAATGGACTTCAACTCAATCATCCATCACCAACAGACTTCAGCTCAAATATTATTAAAATTCTCCCCGTCTACTAATAACTTCTAATTCTCCTCCCGAGTACTATTACCACCAAATCTTCTCAAATCACTTTCATATGAAAGAATCATTTGACCATCTTTTGTCAAGGATAGTTTAGTGGAGTGAACAAACTCTCATTATAACTACTTCTACATAGGAGAGGGGCCCTGAATTTGAGTAGGGAATGTCACCTATCAAAAATAGGGGAATGCCTCAATAGTAAGAAAGTTACAATGAGAAAGGAGAAAGAAAAAGAATGACTGCAAAAATCCCCACTTCTACATAAGAAGAGGTGCCCTGAATTTGAGTAGGGGATGCCACCTAAAAAAATAGGGTAATACTTCAACTATAAGAGATAAAATGAGGAAGGAGAAAGAGAATGAATGACTGCAAAAAGCCTAACTTATACATAAGGAGAGGGGCCTTGAATTTGAGTAGGGATGCCACCTACCAAAAAAAGGGAATGTCTCAATTGTAAGAAAATTAGAATACGGGAGGAGAAAAAAAGAAATGACTATAAAAATTCTATCTTTTACCCAAGGAGAGGGGTCTTGAATTTGAGTAGGGGATGCCACCTACCAAAAACATGGGAATGCCTCAATTGTATGAAAGATAGAACGTGGGAGGAGAAAAAAAAAGGAATGACTATAAAAAATCCAACTTTTACACAAGGAGAGGGGCGCTAATTTTGTATTGGAAAGGTCACCTACGAAAAATAGTGGAAAGCCATAACTATAAGAAATTTATAAAAAGAAGAAAGAAAGTGAGAATGATAAGAATTTTTAACTTCTACACAAGGAGAGGAGCAGTGATTTTGCGTAGGAAAAGTCACCTACGAAAATTAATAGAAAGCCTCAACTATAAGAAAGTTAGAGGAAGAAAGCAGGAGAGGAGCAATTTTCCCCTTGCCTTAAGGGGATATTTATGGGAGAAAGAGGAGGGAGGAATATTTATTTGGAATAAAAATATTTTAAAAAGATGCCATAAATATTCCTAGGAATATCCTTTAAAAAAAATTGTGCGCTCACAAAAAAATAATTGAAAAAAAGGGGCGGCTATTGCTGCCAAATATATATATATATATATATATATCCCTCTCATGGGGGCGCTTCACGTGATCCTTCAGCCCACACTAACACATGGGCACTCGCCGGTGGCGATACCCGCCGGCGGCAGGCAGTAGCTGGCTTGTCGGGCAGTTCGGCCACTAAATCGCATTCAAGCTCTTATTTTGAGCATGGACAGTCCAAATTTGATATTTTTGGGGTCCTTGGATACGTTTTTCAATGTTTTTGACTCAATTTTATTTTTTTCAGAGCTCAACGGAGCTTCTATGATCGAGTTTGAGCAAATTTATAAATTTTTAAACATAAATTTTTATGATTAGTCAATTGTAAAATGTTGTATTATATATTTTTGGACTCTATAGGCTTCGACATCCAAAATAGGGGGGCAATTTTAATATCATCAAAAAATTATGTTGATCTGGCACGAATCTCAAAGTAAAATCAAGTTGAAAACTTTAGAAATTAAATTCAGGACCATTTAAACTCCGATTTTAGTAAACTTATAGTTGAACTGAATGTCTCAAAAATATAAACCCAATGACACCAAATTCGACCCAATCCAAGCTCAAATTGGTCCAAATCGAAGACCCGAATCACATTCGGAAGGTTCAAACCATAATTTATATTATCAAATAGTTTATCAACGTGTCATTCTTATAATCGAATCGAGCGACATGACAAGATGAACCCAACGAGCCTAAGATCAAGGAATTCTAAAATCATCAAGGCCTTCAAATGCCGAATAAATGGTCCATAATCAAGGGATTCAACATCAGCCGTCTATTCATTTCACTCCTAATTTACCCTCGATCTTACTCTTATTTACTGGCCATGCCACTCTCAGAAAACTATAAATATCCCTTCATTTCTCTTGAGAGAGGGGGGAAGGAAGAAACGAGAAGAGAAGAAGAGGAGGGAAGAAGCACCTCCTTAACCACCACCGAAGTTTTGTCGGACTTTCAAGTGACGTCGGAGTTCCGCTTGACATTCAAGTAACGTCGGAGTTCCGCCCGACTTTCAAGTGACGATGGAGTTCCGTCCAACATTCAAGTGACGTCGGAGTTCCTCTGAACTTTCAAATGACACTGGAGTTCCGCCCAACTTATAAGTGATGCCGGAGTTCTGCCGGACTTCCAAGTGACGCTGAAACTCCGCCCGATCTCCAAGTAACACAAAAAATCCACCCGATCTCCAAGTGACGTCGGAATTCTGTCTAATATCCAAGTGACTTTGGAGTTTTGCTCTAATACCATCTAACACTAGAGTTCTCTCCGCCACCGACTAACATCCGAGTTCTACCCGACGCCGGACCTCCGCTCATCGCCAGATTTCTATCTGACGACGGACTTCTGCCCGTTGTCGAACTTTCACCGGACATCTATCTGACGCTGGACTTATGCCCATCACTGGACTCTTACCTAATGCCGTCCTTCTGACGTCCATCGTCAGACGAAGGTCTTTATGAGCTCTATCGCCCGCCGACTACGGTCCTTCTGACTTACGTCACCCACCGACTACAGCCCTTCTGACCTCCGTTGCCCACAGACTATGGCCCTTCCGACCAAGCGAACAAGTCAACAATGATTCTTCATATTTTCACCATGTAACACACTATATATGATGTATATTTGTTACATAAAGTCATGGCCTTCTTTCCAACTAAGGGCCTCATTTGTAATCAACTACAAATACTAGTGGATTCATTCAAACTGGGCAAGGCCTTGTGCTTTTTCCCCTTTTTAGGGCATTTCACATAAAAATCTTAGTGACTCATATGAATGATGCACCCTCACTTTTATCTGTGTGTGTGCTAGATCTTCGTACAATGCTAATACATTAAAATTTATACTTCTCTTCTGCCGCAAATATTCTAGGACGCAACAATCATATTTTCACAACCTTTATTGAATGTTTATCAAAATATCACATCCACCACCTATATTGATATTAGTAAGCACACTTTTATCTAATCCTACAAGTATAACATTAAACAAGTTAACTAATGTGCAGACCATTTATGAAGCATGTGGGTGCTTTGCAACAATTAAAATCATATTAAAATAATATAGTCAACCACACAAGCATAATCAACTTGCTTTCTACATTAAAGCTAAAAATTGACAAGTACAAATACATGTTACTGTAATTACAAAATATATGCTGCAATGGTGAGTAGTTGAAATTAAGCATAGGTAATAAAGTTTAGGCTTATACAATTAAATAAAACAACCTATTACATTCATCACATAAATATTCGAGCTAAACAAGCAAAGTATATATGCACTGGAATAAATTAATGTATAAAATTATATTTCTATGATTTGGTGTTGAACCGACCAATATCTTCAAAGATATATAACTAGTTCGTAGATCCTAACACAAACCTTTTAAATATTTCAATCAAATTTTTATGCAAATATGTGTTGGTTGCACTAAACTAATCAAAAATTTAGATTAGAAGGCTAATGAATATGTTTATTGTAATAATCATACTAATGGAATTACTTATGAAATTACCGTTCCCATGTCACCAACAATAATGAAAAAGCTGTCTGATACAGGATCGATTGTCTCAAAATTGCCTGTTGATCCAATAATCTCAAGGCCACCAACATTTCCATCCTCTTGGATGATGGTGACAAAGCTAGAGTCTGTGTGAGCAACCGCTGCAACAGAACCGATTGACTCTTTTGTAAACTTATAGTTGTGTAGACTTAAGAGGCCATGCCACTCTTGAAATGAGAAATCCACCACACCCAAACAGTCTGATATTTTAGAAGCTATGTCCATACTTAGGCTATGGAGTTTTGAAGCATATTCACTAATAATTTCTCTGCAAGATGACCAAAAATCAATTAATATTTACATGATAATACTATTTATATAATCTTAGTTAAAATTCTATTACTCGTATTCTGTCAAAATATAATCAAATAAACTTATTCTAATTCATCAATGAATTAATTTTTAAAATTTATTATCAGATTGTTTAATTAAAAAATAATGATATTAATTAAAGTGAATACTAAATTGTACTTCAATATTTTGATTATTGAAATGTCTTAATTGCCATAATTATGACAATAAACTTTTAAAAATCAGAACAAAATAAAAATTAATCACTAATCATCCAAAGTAGATGGTTAAGCTCCAATTATGTAGATTAAAACTCTAATTATCCTGTAATTCGCATAACTAAGCACAAATAGCAAAAAAAAAAAAATTACAAAAATATATGTCATTGAAAAACATTCGCATTTTTCTAATACAAAAGTTTATTAGAAAATTGGAGACGCACCGTTGGCTTGGAGACGCGTTCAGTAAGGAGCAAAAGGTTTGAACGTCTTCGTATGATGCTGCGTCGTAGATGCCAAAAGACTCAAAGAACTGTGTCATATCGGGCTGAGCATTCATTGCAACATAACCGGAGCCTGAGATAATTTTTTCAGTGTTGTGGAGCTTTACCTCTATGGGCTTCTGAAACAGTGAACGGATGGTGGCCCTAATATCTGCAATTAAAGTTGTTGGAATCCCATGATTTACAACCCGAAAACAACCAAACTCGGTTACGGCTGCCGCAAGCCTTTTCATCTCCATCGGGAGGTAATTCACTAGATCAATCACTGAAACTGAAAACTTATCTGCCGCCATTACAAACCTTTTGATTCAATATTTTTTTTCTCTCTCAACTCTTTGATGGAGGCTTTCTTTATTTAAAGCCAAAAATTTATGTCACCTGATGCGAATATCATTAAATTTATTTTTAAATTAATGTTTATATAATATTATGCACTTCATATAAATCCATTTTTTTAATTATTTTTTTCTATATGAATGGGATAAGTGATGGCGCTAACATGACTTCTGCTGTATTGAATGTAGTGTATTTGTCTCTTTGTTCAACGGAATCTAAAGCGGCATCTACAAAATTTCTTACAAAACAAAACTTAAAGTAAACATAACAAATTACTAGCTGTTTTCTATTTCAAAAATGTAATTCAAGAATGGATAAGTGATAAACAAGAAATCTTAATTAAAGGTGATAACATCAATGTTATTAAATTTTTGCAAAATTCAGTAAAGAAGACCATTGATTAGAATAAAAGCATTCAAAGATTGGATTTTTCACGAAGTTTTTCATTATGTAATTTTTTAATTTGTTTCTAGAGAGTGTAATAGAGTGGCGGACTTTTGTTCTCATTGTGCCCTAAGACTTCTCATTGTGCCCTCTTAGGCAAGGGGGGGCAAGTGCCCCCCCTAAAAAAAATGAAAAAATATATATAGAGAGGGAATTTAGAGATAAAGGCTAAGTTGAAAACTTCAGAAACTAAATCAGAGACCATCTTAACTCCAATTTCAGCAAACTTATAGTCGAACTGAAGGTATCAAAAATACGAACCCAACGGCACCAAATTCGACTCAATCCGAACCCAAATGACTCCAGATCAAAGACCGGAAGCATATTTAGAAGGTTTAAATCATAATTTGGATTACCAAATGGTTTTCAAACATAATATGCTTATAGTCGAATTGAACGGCTAGACGAGACGAATCCAACGAGCTCAAGGTAGCCAGATTTTGAAATAACTAAGCCATTTAAATGCCCGATAAACGACCCACGATCAAGCGATTCAATATTGATCGTCCATTGAAATTACTCCCAATTTAATTTCCTATTAATTCACATTTTTTTCTTGGATGATATTAGCTTAATCCTATATTGATTCGATCTTAAATAGACTTTATATATTTTTTTTGTGCAATGAGATTTTTAATATCACGTATTTAGTTAATAAATTGAACTCGTTCTAGCATAAATCAAGTGATTTGATGTCTGGAAGTCATTTTGTGAAGGAAAAAAAAAACTTATTCACTATCAAAGTTTTATCATTTTTAAAACTGATTATATCGGTCCCATGCCTGGATGTAAAAAGTTCAAAGAAAATAAAATAAAAAATTAAATTAGCCCCCTTAAATTAGCCCCCCCCCCCCCTCTAAATATATTTTCTGGCTCCGCCACTACTCTTAGGTGATTTTTTTTGGGGATACTTTTGTTACTAGTAAACTTCAAATTTTATTGACTTGATTAGGAAGGAATGTGATAGGATATCTATCACATAGGTTTATTTGTATCTTTCCTTTATGTTTAATGATAAATGTATATCTTAAAAATAAAAAATTAATAAACATAACAAAAGCTTTTACACCCCACCCCCCCCCCCCCCAAAAAAAAAAAAAAAAAAAAAAAGCCCAACAAATGTAAAGCAAATCTGTATATTTTGTCTCCACAATGATCTAATGTGATATGAAAAGTAATTTACTGACATAGCAGAAAGATCACATATCTCTCTATAAATAAAGCAAGAAAAATATTTTTTTTTTTTTGCTACCGAAGCATATGTTGAAACTTGTACTACAAACATTTGAGTTATTGATTTCTCTCTCTCTCTCTCTCTCTATAGAGAGAGAGAGAATAGAGATATATTCTCTCTCTCTCTCTAGAGAGAGAGAGAGAGACTGCAAGCAAGTCCAAGTATCACCTAAGAAAAAATTTGGCATCAACATCCTCAAAGATCCAATGAGTGTGTAATGATGCCATTTAGTTGAAGATAGGACACACTCAATGAGCAAAATAATGTTGACCCCTCGGTGGACATGGACAGCCCCAAGTACACAACTCGCCAAGGCCACATTGAGATGGAGAAAACATTGGCAAGAATTATCTAAGATGCCTTTGGATAGGTACGTAGGCTTGTACATAGAGAAAGCACCCGTGAATGAACCTTTAACTTGATGGCTTGTTATAGGAGGCAAGAAAACACATCACTAACCTTAGCACATGTCCATAATTCATCTTGCATGGTGACCAAGGATGAAGAACATAACCCGTCAACTTGGTGAGAATGGAGAAATGAACCAAACTATATTAATGCCTTCTCTAAGGAGATAACAAAGGCTAAGTGGCCTCCTATGTTCAAGTTGCCACATTTGGAGTCCTATGAGGGTCGGGATTATTGATATAGTGGACAACATTGTAACTTTTGAATCAATAACCTCTCTATTGGAATTCATGATGTCCTTAAGTGTCTTCTATTCTTTACAATCCTTAAGGAGTATATGCATTGATGAGTTCACTTCCTTATCAATGCGTGTCATCACCGCCTTCTAGGAATTCAATCAAATGTTTGTGACATAATTTTATAGGGCTAAAAAGCATAAAATAAATGTACGGACTCTCCTTAACAAGAGGTAAATACCAAGAGAAGTGATGAGAAATTTCATTTTGTTTAAAGAGACATGTTGCAGGTGAAATATTTGGAGCCAATAATAGCCTATGTTACCTTAACTGAAGGATTAAGTGAAGGTCTTTTTCTTTATATGCTCAACTTGAAGCAGCTAAGCTTGTTGGTCGAATTATTGGAGTTCACCAATAGTTATGGCCCCACTTAAGAGTACATGGAATGACAAAGTCTTCCAGGTCTACTTGCACATATGAACATACCCCAAGAAGAGATTTAAATCAAGGGTGAGATCGAGAAAGAATCCCAAGGGACAAAATAGATCGAAAGTCCATCATGCCATGAGAAAGATGTTGCGATGCCCTGGGAAAGTTGTTGCTAAATTACCAGAGAGTGCTCTTATTGTACAAGCCACCAAGGATTGCTGGCCGCCAAGACTAAGAGTGCACAAGCTTTCACCTACCACGTAGCCCTACCATAAGGAAGCTACATATCATGCCCTAACATATCCCACATATACTCCACTATTGGTATCAAAAGTGAGGTTTTCTATGTCTTCCAAAATAAAAAGTTCTTTAAGTTTTTAGTGCTTATACAAGTGGGTGCACATATTAGGGACACCTTCATATATTGTGCTTTCAATAATGAACACATCCAAGAGACAAAGGAGTGCCGCCACTCCTAAGTATTAGTTTAAGAACTCATCAAGGCCACCAAGATAAAGGTTTATACACTCATTAATCCCTATCAACTCATAGTAAAAGGCCTCCCATAGAGAACCATGGATATTAGCCCACCCTAGCCCATTACATTCTTATTACTCAAGTTGTACCCATCATCATGGGCAAAGACTGAACTAACATGCTAGTGACTTATAAAAGAATAAAGGTTGGAGAGGTGAACATGGATTCTATCTCATGTGCTTGAGAAATGGATATTTCCCTTGTTACTTTTGTAGAAGTAGATAAGCTTGTAGATTAGATCCAAAACAAAAATCCTATGATTTTCATTACCTTTGCTGACAACTTCTAAATATATTGTATTTTAATTAACAAAAGGGGGTTCTTTGGTTTTCTCCTCAACCACAAAGGTGTCAAAGTGAAGCTTGATAAGTAGAAGTTAATTCCAAAATGTTAATATATATAAAGCAAAAATATTCTTAGCAACTCATTAGGAAGGTTATTGTCATGATTTTTTTCATGTCAAGTCTAGGAAAGAGGTGCTCATTATTTTTCCATCAACTTATAAATGCTAAAAGTTTGCCTAGAGCAATAGGTGTAAGGTTTACTTCCAATAATTGAAGCTTCTCATCTCCATTTCACCTTTAATCTAGAGTCCTATATCATGAGAGGACTTGTTATTATACCTTGGAGTGGGATAGGATTATTTCAGCTCATTACTTGTCAGGGAATAAGGGAAGAAGCAATGGATAGCATATTATGTGACTAAAATACTAAGGGGAGCAAAACAAAGAGACCTAACTATGGAGAAACTCAAATAGGAATTGGTGATCTCAGCTAGGCAACTATGATAATTCTTTTAAGCTCATTCAATATAAATTGTCACAAACCATCCTATAAAGTCAATACTCACAAAGTATGATCATTCTAGGAGACTTTTGAAATTGTCATTGGAGTTAAGTGAATTTTAAATCACCTAAATGTAGAGGACTACCATTAAGGTTTGGGAACTTGTTGACTTATTGATTACAATATTCATTATTTTTCTTTTTTTTCTTTTTTTCCCTTTTTTTTAATTTTTTTGTTTTTTAATTTTTATTTTTTATTTTTTACTTTTTATTTTTTATATAATATTCAAGGATACAATAAGAGGTAGAAGCTTATATACAACATTGGATCCTCTGATTTGATGGAGCTTCAAGCAGGAAAGGAATAGGTGAAAGGAAGATTTTAAAGAACCTAATATGTATTGCCAGCACAAAAGTCACCAACATTGATTCTTTTTTTTTTTTTGAAGAGATGCATTAAGCAATTTATTAAAAATAAAAAGTTACAACCAACTAAGGGATTGAATCCCAATCACATTCCTCCTTTAACAAAGAAAAAAAAAGGAATGAGAAATTTTATTACAACTAATATCATCCAAAAAAATTAACGAAAGAGCATAGTTAGCACAAAAATTAGCTATCTTATTACAATTCCTATTTGAAAAATGAAATAACACTTGATTAAAATCAATAAGAAAAGATAAATCTTTAGGCTTTAAGATGTCCTCCTTGTTCGGTTCATTATTCATCAATCTTCGAACATAATTGATAGCATTATAGTTATCACCTTCAACAATGATACATATAGCTTTAAACATCCACTCTTGAAGAACTTTCCTCAAAGATAGAATTGATAACAATTCCAATAATGAACAATCCTAGTGCAGATTGCTAAACCCAAAAGCACACAAAAATCTTCCTCCATGGTCTCTGAACATGCCACCCATACCAGCTTTATATGTACTCACCAAGG